GTGTAGCGATCACCGTGGGACGAGCTGCAAGATGGATGTTGCGCGACATGGAGAGCGGCAGCGGACATGGACGGACATTGGTGGATCTAGTTGGATGCAACAGGACATCATCAATATCATCATTGGTGAGTGTCTGACTCAAAGCTCGCAAAAAGAACTTTTATTATTACTTTATTATTACTTTTATTATTACATTGTGCATGCCGTAAATTTGCATTGACTCTTGTAACGAAAAATATATTCCATGAATTATTGTCCTATATTATTGCCATATATTGTTGCCACATATTGTTGCCATATATTGTTGCCATATATTGTTGCCATATATTGTTGTCGTATATTATTACCATATATTATTCCCATATATTGCCATGTATTCTCGCCATATATTATGGCCACTTGAAACGCGCGAGCAATCAAGAAAACTGAATTTATCGATAATCGCAAAGGCGCGGCAGACGTCACAAATGGATGTTAGCAGCCGGTCTCAGGGTTGACCGATAACAATACTGTTGCTGCAATTTAACTTTAAACAACAGCGGCCTCAGATCGCAAGAAACTTTTTATCGCGGACTAACCTTTCGAACGGAATGTTCCCGAGAAGCGCTCTTGAGATAAATGGAAGTTATAAGCGAACCTCATCGATAGCATATTTACCTTCGATATCTCCTAAAAGTCTCAAGATATAACGCTCTTTTGCAATATAGTTCTATATCAACCCTACTTTAACCATAAAGCTCGACTTTCAATTCACAGTAGAAACGGAGATATTAACATCACAAGTTAAACATTTTAGCTTACTATATCTCCTAAACAGTTCAAGATACAGGAACGCACTCTTGCCACAATGTAGTTCTATACCAACCCTAATATTACCATAAATTTCCACTCTCAATTCCCAGTAGAAGCGGAGATATCAAAGGTACAAGTTGGAAAACTTTAACCTTCGATATCTCCTAAACGGCTAGAGATACAGGCCTGTTTCTTGCACCAAAATGTAGTCCTCTAAAAACCCTACACTTCACCATTAATTACGACTGTCAACTCCCAGTAAAAGCGGAGATACCAAAGGAAAAGTTGGAAAATTTTAACTTTCGATATCTCCTAAACGGCTAGAAATACAGGCCTGTTTCTTGCACCAAAATATAGTCCTCTCAAAACCCTACATTTTCCCGTAAATTACGACTCTCAACTCCCAGTAGAAGCGGAGATATCAACGGAGAAAGGTTGGAAAACTTTAACCTTCGATATCTCCTAAACGGCTAGAGATACAGGCCTGTTTTTTGCACCAAAATATAGTGCTGTAAAAACGCTACATTTTTCCATAAATTGCGACTCCCATCTCACTCAGAAAATTTATTTTCGGAAATCCGACGTTTCATTCAGAGTTCTGGTTAGCCCCACACGAGTTCTAAAGATTATTATTAACACTCGGAGCGCTGAAACCAAAATTGAAAGAATTCTCGCCGATTTTCGAGCTGAGGGACATGGAAATATTCGACTCGTGAGACGAAAATCGGCGAGAACTCTTTCAATTTTAGTTTTAGCGCTCCGAGTGTTAATAATAATATTCAGGACTCGTGAGGGGCTAACCAGAACTCTGAATGGAACGTCCGATTTCCGAAAAAATCTTTCGATCCGAGGGACATGGAAATATTCGACTCGAGGGACGAAAATCGGCGAGAACTCTTTCAATTTTGGTTTTAGCGTTCCGAGTGTTAATAATAATATTCAGAACTCGTGAGGGGCTAACCAGAACTCTGAATGAAACATCGGATTTCCGAAAAAAAAATTTTACGTGTTTAATAAACAATCAATTTTTTTGAAAATCCAATGTTTTATTCAGAGTTCTGGTTAGCCCCTCACGAGTTCTAAAGATTATTATTAACATGCGACGCGCTAAAACCAAAATTGGTAGAGTTCTTGCCATTTTTCGTTTTCTAATTCGAGAATTTTAAATATAATTTTTCTTATTGTTTTAAACAGAACTATTTTTAAAACTTATCTAGAACTATAGAACTATTAAAAATCTATCTAGAACTCTAAAAAAATTGTCATTTTTTACATAATGAGGGGCGTCGTGAAGTTGGCCCTCCGATTTTTAAAATGGTATTTTCTCTACTTTAAATGACGGAACTCTTTCTATAAAGGATTGCGAACTCTAGAACTCTGCGAGGGGCATTCAGAACTCTAATAATTTTTTTCAAATTTGAAGAACGAAGGGCCATTTTCACAGAGGTGATGGAGCGAATACATTCTCTGTCTCTCTTTTGCTTGGCTCGTCGAAACAAGTCGAGCGGAGGGCGGGGTCTCAAAGGAAGTGTCATCGACGAAACGTGCAATGCTTGCGATGCCCGTGTGTTGTATGCAATACGTGCATTTTCTTAAAAAATAAAAAAAAATTTATTGTGATACACGTATGTTGTATGCAACACGTGCATTTTCCTAAAAAACGAAACAAAAAAAGATTGGCGAAAAAGGACAACGCCGACCGCCGACCGCCAAGGAGATGCGAACCACCGACCTCAACCTCGCGAGTCCAGAGTACTTCCACCAAGCCACACGCTCTTTGAGAAGCTCGCTCCTTGGTTTTGGTTCATGAAGCACTCGCGATTTTCAATCGCGACTTTCTTGCAAACGCTTCAATGCTATGCCGTATCTTTTAGTGCAATGTTAATTTGTCATGCAAATCTATCGACACAACCAGTTTAGTCGAAATCAATTGCTATTGATCATCTCGTTGGATTCACGCCGAGAGTGAAACGTCAATCTCGGCCGTGTGTCGGGAAGCACAATCTCGGCAACGTTGCGAATCAGAGCGAGATGGAGCGAACACATTCCCTCTCTCTCTCTCTCTCTCTCTCTCTCTCTCTCTCTCTCTCTCTCTCTCTCTCTCTCTCTCTCTCTCTCTCTCTCTCTCTCTCTCTCTCTCTCTCTCTCTCTCCCTCTCCCTCTCCCTCTCCCTCTCCCTCTCCCTCTCCCTCTCCCTCTCCCTCTCCCTCTCCCTCTCCCTCTCCCTCTCCCTCTCCCTCTCCCTCTCCCTCTCCCTCTCCTCTCCCTCTCCCTCTCCCTCTCCCTCTCCCTCTCCCTCTCCCTCTCCCTCTCCCTCTCCCTCTCCCTCTCCCTCTCCCTCTCCCTCTCCCTCTCCCTCTCCCTCTCCCTCTCCCTCTCCCTCTCCCTCTCCCTCTCCCTCTCCCTCTCCCTCTCCCTCTCCCTCTCCCTCTCCCTCTCCCTCTCCCTCTCCCTCTCCCTCTCCCTCTCCCTCTCCCTCTCCCTCTCCTCTCTCTCTCTCTCTCTCTCTCTCTCTCTCTCTCTCTCTCTCTCTCTCTCTCTCTCTCTCTCTCTCTCGCTCTCTCTCTCTCTCTCTCTCTCTCTTTCGCTTGGCTCGTCAAAACAAGCCGAGCGGAGGGCGGGACTTCAGACGGATAGACGGGAGCAGTTTCTCTGTGTGTGTGTGTGTGCCGATTACATTCTTACATAGAAACGTACGGCAATTGAAAATGTTTAAGCATATACCCAGAGATTCTATCTGTTGCGTATGACACGTGTGTGTGTGTGTGTGTGTGTGCGTGTGTGCGTGTGTGCGTGTGTGCGTGCGTGCGTGCGTGTGTGCGTGCGTGCGTGTGTGCGTGTGTGCGTGTGTGCGTGTGTGTGTGTGTGTGTGTGTGTGTGTGTGTGTGTGTGTGTGTGTGTGTGTGTGTGTGTGTGTGTGGTGTGTGAGTGCGTATATGCACACGTACGTCACGCACACTTTCAATGCAATACATGCACACGGACACAACTGCGCTAAAGAACGCCTGCCGGAGTATAAATAAATATTAACGTAACGCTGAAATATTTTGGAAAAATAATTTTGGGTACACACAAAATATTATCTTATTATCATATATTTATATATCGATATAAATCGTATATAATCTTCATGATATTAATCATATACAATCTCAATTCTTATTTTTTTGTGCATGTTAACATGTTAATTCATGTTACAAATGCATAACAATGCGCGAGACCGTGCTTGTCAAGTACGCTATTATGGTTGTAGCACGGACATAAACCGCCCGAAAGTGGATGTAGCACGGACAGCCACCAGATGCAGGTTTTACCGTCGACACCTAAAAGTGGATGTAGCATCGTAGTTCCCTTCTCAAAATGGATGCAGATAGCGCCCATTCTCAGTGCGAAAAATCGGTGTCGCCGAAAACGCCGTGTTGGGCGCTCTCAGCTTCCTCTCTGCTGATACTAATGACGTATTTCTATATGATTAGAGCATCCCATTTAAATCTCATAGCACACCATTAGAAAAAAGGGCCACTTTAAAGAGTAAAAATCTAATGGTAATGAAAAATCTTTTAAATTAAATTTAAATTAATTATTAATATTCTTTAATATGAATAATATTTCGTTGTCATTTCAATAACTTGCTGGTAAAGCAAATATATCCCAGTAACGTTACATATTTTTACATTACGTTACATAACTTTGTATATTACAACATTAAATGAACATATAATTTCGACTGATTTGTGTATGAAATTAAATACATAAATATTTCAGTAACAGCCTAATATATAACGTTTATATAGGATATTTATCTTACTGGAAATATTATTGAAATCGCAACGAAACGAAAGTGGAGAAAAGTAATCTTCATTTCATCAAATTAATGATAATAAAATACTAATGGTAAAATAATTAATTTTCAGGACTATAACGAAAAATAATTAAGATTAATAAAACTGCGAGAAGCAACTGAGCAGCAACGGGAGCTTCATACTAAAAAATGGCGATTGCTGAAGCAGAAGAGAAGATTATTATGCTAAAACTGTTGAAAAAGGAAGAGGCACTCAGGTAAACATAGTATAATATAAAATATTGACAAAGATATAATATTCTACGATAAAACATTCTTCAAATTAATTATTAATAATATTATTATTTAATTTGAATTAATAATAATTATTAATAATAATTATTAATTTTTTATCTAAACATGTATAAGTGTAAATTTGTATGAATTTATCTTGATTAACATTATTAGAACATGCCATTCATCGTAGATATAAACTTAATATAAAAAATATAATTGATTCACAGCATTATTTCATATTTAAGAAAAATGTCTTAAAATAAAAGCATATCTGTGCACAAGTACTATACCATCTTGTTCTCGATTTATAATGTCCTCAAATATATTCTCATTAAGCTCCTCTCAGACCACTTCACCCAAATTATTTTGTATACATACATTGTGCAAAACGGCAGTGGCACATATAATTGCCACCGATGTGGTCAACTTTGTTTTTAAGCCGTAGTACAGGCATGGAAATCGACGTTTTCAAACTCCAAACAGTTGTTCAACTATAACTCATGTTTTGGTATGTGCAGTATTGTATCGAATTTCTGCGTCTGTCTCAGGTCTTAAAACAGACGTTAGTAGATAGCTGCCAGTAGATCATTACCATTAGATTTTTACTCTTTAAAGTGGCCCCTTTTTCCAATAGTATGCTATGAGATTAGATGGGATGCTCTGATCATACAGAAATACATCATTAGTATCTTCCTCGTCCTTTTCATTTTCATCTTCGATGATCACTTGTGTGGATGGTCTTTATGTAGAACATATCTGTACATTATCTGAAAAATGAAAAGTCAAAATTGAATGTTGTAATATAAAAGAAAAATAAGATCTACGTATAGTGCTTACATTCTTTCTCAAATATTGTAGTGCTGTCAAATGGGCAATTAATTTCTACGTTCTAAGTTAGCATGTGTTGCATTCATGAATTCCATTACTGGGTCATTCGGTTGTACCAGTGCAGAACCTCCACCTGTCATAAGCCGGTGGTGCCGGATCACCGTGTTTAATTTTCGTTTCCTGAGATAAATTAATAAAATAAGTATCAAAATATAATAAAAAGGAACCGAATATAAAGACATACATATGTAAAAAGAATTTCGCTTAACAGAAGTATATATAATAAACTGATAAATTATCAAAAAAATCATTATTACTTATTCCTGTTTCATGTTATCCCAGCATTTCCTCAGTTGTTTGCTGAAACGTATGGCCGTAACATATGGCGTATAACCTTCGCTAGCGTATTTTTTTGTTATTCTCTCCTAGGTTAGGTCTCTCCTATGCCTCTGCCTTATTCTTCATATCTGTCGCACCGGTTTTCTTATTTTCAATAGCTTCTTCTTCTGAAATAAGCTGCGCCAGGAGCATTCTCTCCCGGTCCGTATAACAAACACTTTTATCCATTATTGACTAATATGATTTTTGTTTTAAAAGTCTTCTGTTCGCCTCCGCGGCGGTTGGATGTGGTTCTTGTAACTGCGCATTTTTTTGATCGTGGGGACTGCGTACGCGCTGTCCCTGTTTTTCTTTCTACATCATACTACTGGGAAATGGCGAATGGACATTGCTGTATGCAATCTTTTTTTTTTTGGTCACGCAGGGAAAATCCATCATGGATACCCCCGACCCTTGGGGGGGGGTCAGAGGATTATGTCGGACTCTTACCGACTAAAACCCCTGCGGGATGCCTACCTGTCGGACCGGTGAGAGGGGAGTCAGAGGAACTACTCCCATATTCTCTCCCCAACCCCCCGGCCCCAGGGCTCTAAGGGAGCCCCTCGCCATCATTGCACCGCACCCTGTTCCACAGAGGGAATCCAAGATGCGGTCCCCGGTCGGTTGGCCGACCTTTGGCCTTCTGGTTTCACCTGAGGAGAGGGGGGCATCCGCCTCCCTCCTTACCCCCCCTCCTTGCTATTCAGGGAGGAGTTGCTGTATGCAGTCTTTTTTTTTTTTTTGGTAACGCAGGGGAAATCCATCATGGATACCCCCTCCCCTTGGGGGGGGAGGGGGTTATATCGGAATCTTACCGACTAAAACCCCTGCGGGATGTCTACCTGTCGGACCGTTGGGTGGGGAGTTAGGGGAACTGCTCCCGCATTCCCTCCCCAATCCCCCGGCCCCAGGGCTCTCCGGGAGCCCACGCCATCAACGTACCGCGCCCTGTCCCACGAAGGGAGTTCAGGGCGCGGTCCCCGATGGGTTGCCCAACCGGTTGGCCTTCTGGTCACACCTGTTAGGAGGAAGGAGACACCCACCCCTCCTCCTTTACCCCCCTTGCTAATCAAGGGGGGAGGGTTTTGGGGGAGCGGGCCCGGCCCCAACCGGGACATCGCTTCCCCTTTACCCTACTTGTCCGACCGCGCGGGGGGACCAGGGAAACCTAGTCCTCCCTGCTCGGACGGTGGCGGGCCCGAGGCGGCCGAGGAGTTCTCGACCCGTCGCTGTCGACGGACGACGAGTCCTCCTCGGCCGACGCCACCTCGGGTCCGCTGCCGATTCTTCCTTCGGGGGATCGTCGACCGGTGCGTTGCCTCCGGCTCCGCACTCCCGGTCGACGTCCCCACTCCGCGGCCTCCTTCTGCGAGATGACCTCTCTGCAGAAGGAGGCCGCTGCGTCCCACGCCTCCTCGCTCCCGCACATGGTCGTGACCATGCGCGGGAGCGAGAGTTCCCCCCTTCGGCACCCCACCGCCCCCTCGAGGACACGGCGCTCCCCGTCCTATGCGGAGCATGTGGACAGGGTGTGATGCGCCGTGTCCTCGAGAATGGGGCGGTAGTGGCATCGAGTGGTGGGCTCCTTTCTGATCCGGTGCAGATACCGACCGAAGCAGCCATGCCCGGTCAGCATCTGCACCAGGTGGAAGGTCATTCCACGTCCCCTCCTGCTCGTCAATTCAGACAGGCAGGCGCGGACAGTCGCGGCCATTGTAGGACCGGACACCTTCGGGTCAGACAGCTCGTCCTGCCACTTACGAAGGGTCCGGTCCCTGGCCTGGAGTATCAGGCCCTTCAAATCCCTGGCCGTTAGCGTCCCTTCCCCGCAGAGCTCCTTCACCCGCCAATAGAGGACTGCCCTCTCATCGGCAAGGATCTCCACGGGCGGGACACCGGCCAAGGTGGTCGCCGCCATGTATGACACGGTCCGATACCCCCGGATCGCCCTTATTAACATCGGCCTCAAGGTCTGCCGTAGGGAGCGTTTTCCCCTCCGGCAGACCAATAGGCTGGGCGCCCATATGGGTGCCCCGTATAGGACGACCGAGAGCACGGCCGTGACATACAGGCGGCGTGCCATCCATCCCGGGCCCCCCTGGGTGCGCATTAGGCTGGCTACCTCCAGACCCGCCTTGCGCACCCGGGGGGCCAGGTTCCCAAAATAGGGCCCGAATCTCCAACGACTGTCCAAGGTCAGGCCGAGATATTTGATCGTCGGCCCGACGCGGACGTAGACGCCATCCACAAGGACCTGGGTTTCCGGAGGCGCCTCTCGACCTCGGCCGTAAAAATATACGGCCTCGGTCTTTTGGGGCGCCACCGAAAGACCATTTATGGTGCCTTTATGGTGCCCACCACCGATTTCAGTACCGCCTCCGCGCAGAGGCGGGCTTCCCCCCAGTTCTCCCCCCCCCCGGCCACCACTAGCGTGTCATCCGCGTAGCAGATAACGTGGCAGCCCGGGGGGAGCGGAGTTCTCAGCACCCGGTCGAACGCGATGTTCCATACCAGGGGGCCCAGAACGGACCCCTGCGGAACACCGCGTTCCATGGTGCGCCGGCCCTGGATCCCGCCCTCCACTGGGAAGGCGAGGTCCCTGCCCCCGAAATAGGCCGAGAGGATACGCCGGAGATAAGCGGGCACACCGTGATGCACGAGCGCCCGCCCTATTTCCGGCCACAGCAGGGTGTTGAAGGCGTTCCTTATATCCAAGGAAACCGCCAACAACACCCCGCCGTCCCTCTCCACGACCGCCTGGGTCAGGCCCCGGAGACACTGGACCGCCTCCAGCGTGGATCTCCCGGGTCTGAACCCAAATTGGCGATCGTGGAGGTTCGGCCCCTCCGAGGATAGGTGCTGGACGAGGCGGTCGGCAATGATGCGTTCGAGCAACTTGCCCGCCTCGTCCAGCAGGCATATCGGCCTATAGGCCAACGCACTACCGGGTGCTTTGCCCTCCTTGGGGAGGACTAACTTGGCCCTCCTCCACTCTGGGGGGAATATCCCCTCTCTGAGACACCCGCTCAATACCCTGCGCGTGGCCGCGAATAGGTTTCCTGGCCACGCCTGGGCCCTCGCCCAGGGGCCAGGAATTCCATCGGGGTCCGGGGCCTTGCCCTTGACCCCGAGCCTGTTCCTGGCCCTAGTGAGCTCCTCTGGACTGACCTCCAGGCCCTCATCCCAATCTCCCTCCTCCATTTTTGGGGGAGGGATCACGGGTGGGCCCCCTTCTGCCCTCGGGAAGAGGGCGTCCAGGAGCCCGTTGAGGGCCTAGTGGTCCATTTGTTCGGTCGGTGGGGACGCCCAAGGGCGAATCTTCCCAGTCACCCTTTTGTAAGGGCGCCCCCACGGATCGTCATCCAGGGAGCCCACCAGTTTGTAACGACACATACCGGCAAATATGTCGTTACGCTGACTGCCGCTGAACATCACGCGGCAGTCAGCTGAGCGCACGCCCCCCGACTCGCGCTGTCACCGCGCCTGTCAACGCGCTCACCCGAGGCTGGCCGAAGACCCGGCAGCAACGCTCGGGAAAGATCGGCCACCGAGCCGAACTCGCGGCGCCGCCAAAGCGATCCTCGGCGGACGTCGCATACTCACGATTACTCTCGATCAAATTCGGATTAATCAACGAAAGAAACCGAAGACAGAAAATGACGGGTATATAAACCCGACGGTTCTTGTCTTTGGGGGAGTCGAGTTTTGGACAGGCTTCAAGCAGTCTTGGGAGAGTCTTCGGAGAGTCTGAAACGATCCACCGTCTAGGAAAACTCGTCAACAAATCTGCAGAGTGCCTCCAGAAGATCGAAAGCTCCGAATAAGTAATCTACCAGGCCGCAGCCGTCGGCATCCGCGATTGCTTCCGTTCTTTGCGATATTTTGTGCCGTCTTGGCGAAATAAAGATCGGACGGCGAGTTTGCCGTCGCTCCGGTGTGTTCACCGGAACGATCTTATTTTGTGCCGTCTTTGCGATATAAAGATCGGACGGCGAGTTTGCCGTCGCGCCGGTGTGTTCACCGGAACGATCCTCTTTTGTGCCGTCTTTGCGATATAAAGATCGAACGGCGAGTTTACCGTTACGCCGGTGTGTTCTCCGGAACGATCTTATTTTGTACCGTCTTCGTGATTCAGAGATCGAACGGCGAGTTTGCCGTTACTCCGGTGTGTTCTCCGGAACGCTCTCATAAATATATTTCTTTTGTTTCTTCCTCTCTCTTCCTATAGGACTCAGAGTACGAAAGGACGCGAAGGCAGACAGAGTCGTCACCCACACCTACCGACTGGCCGGCGCGGCCGCCGGCCTGGCATAACTCCATCGACAAAGCGCATCGCGACCTCCAGACAAAAGAAATCGCCTAACCCCCGCGACTCGTAGGACCAGGGGATCATGCCGTAAGGCCTGACGAACCTCTCCCGGCAACGAAAATCACGCGACGCGAAGCAAGTAATTTCGACGATTACCGGGAAAAACAATCGCCAGTCTCACGCTCGACGAACGGCCTACCTATTATGTAAGCACCGCAAGCGATAACGCGGCCCGACGCGACGCGTTTTTGCACGGGTTCTTATGTACAGCGAGCGTCAGACGAAACCAAGCATTTAAACCCGAGCATTTAAATCCGAGTAACGCCTGCAATAACGCCCGCACGAAATCGCTATTTTAGACACGGTCGCGAATTTTCTTATTTCCCATCTGCGGAACTGTCTGTATGTTAAAATAATTACTGTTAACGAAGCGACAGTCACGCACCTAACCGAACCATCATCAGCGGAATACGGCCGTTCGCTGCGACGACGAGCCGAAGCGAGACAACATCGCACGTTGAAGCGGTACCCAAACATTGGGGAACCTCGCGAAAATAACACGCGGTCATTGCGTGCTGAAACGACACAATAAAGCGTCTCTGTCAACAAAACCGATCAACTTTAATCATTCAACGAAAATCACCTTCTCCTAATAAAAACTTCGGCGCGCGATTCGCTAACGACGATCGCGACGTAGGGGCCGGATCGACGATAAAAGAAAACCGAACCCGGAGGCTCCGGCATTACAAGTTGCTCCCAGGCCGCTCGCTTTGCCTCGGCGATGGCAGCTTTTAGGGCCTTCCACGCTCGGAAGTAGTCCCTTTTCGTCCCTGTGACATCCCCTCCATCCCGCCGAGCCCGCATTAGCAGCCGTCTGGCTGCCATGGCTGAGCATCGGAGCCGACGCAGCTCCTTGCTCCACCAATACGTGGCCCGGCGAGAGCGGGGGCGGGATCGGGGCATCGCGACGTCACAACACGACGTCACGATGCCCACTATTTCCTCGGCCCCTTTGCAGGGGTCGGGGTCCCGCCCCCCTGGCACCTCCCCAAGGTGCCAGGATACCACAAGGACAGCCGCCCGAAACCTATCCGCGTCCAGCCGACTGAGGTCCCATCTCTTGGGGAGAGGGGGTTCCCTCTCCCCAGGGCGGCGGATGAGCACCTGCTGGGGTTTGGGGAGGCGGAGGGTCCACACTATATGTCTGTGATCAGACAGTGTTTCCCCCTCCGCCTCCACCTTCCATTCGTGGAAGAATCCTGCGGCCGAGGGGGTCGCCCAAGTCAAGTCAATAACCGAGGCTCCACCCCACCCCGGCCACACGTAGGTGCTCTCTGAGCCCTCATTCATTAGAATGAGGCCCAGTCCCGCTGCCGGGGACTGCAGCCCCACTCTTCCGAGTAGGCGTTGAAGTCCCCGGCAATTACTGGTCGGGGATGGCACCTTCGCACCAACTCCCTGACCCTGTC